CGTCCTCCTGCAACCGAGCGCGAGGGCTCGCTCTTTCCGAGCAGCGGGGGTCGTCGCCGGCTTCTCCCTTCTCAAAGGGCGGGAGCCGAAGCCCGGATGCCGCCCTCCCTGCAAGACGGCCAGGCTTCGGGATCGCGCGGAGAGACGCTGATACAGCGGTTGCAGGTTGCGCTCCAGTGAATGGGGTGGCGGAAGGACCAGGTGCAAGTTCTGGTTGCAGAGCTGCGTAACGTTTTCAGTGAATGAGATCCGGGGGAGGGGGGATCCGCTAGGAGATACTAAGAGGACTTAGGAGAACTGAAAAGCCCATTCAGAAAACCAAGAATGAATGAGACTGGAAGAATAGACTGATGGCTCTTGGGGGAATCTCTCCTTAGAAACTCCTCTATTTGGTATGAGTAAGTGGGTTAGGTGTATGTGTTAAACATACAGTATGTTCACAAGGTAGAGGAATGAATTACAGGTAGTCCTGGTTTAGCGACTGTTCACAGTTGCAGCGGTAATGAGAAAGAAACTTTGTGATCAGTCCTCGCATTTACGAACTTCGCAGGTTTGTAAAGCAAAGGAAAGCTGGAGTCAGATCGTAAGCACAGTCAGAGTTTCACTCAGTGACTGCTTCACCTAACAATTGAGTTGCCAGTCCCAATTGTGGGTGTTAAATGGGAACTACCAGTACACATTAGAAAATACTCTTGATTTGATTGCTTATAAAGAGAATTTGAGAGAATTAGTAAAAGGTAACATGCCTTTTAATAAAATGTGCTAGTTGGAAAAGGTGCTACCAGGAGCTTTCTGGATTTTCCTCAGGGTGATGAGAGATTCTGAATGTGATCGCCCATAATTTTGGTAGCATCAAGAGTGGACCTTGGGGAAAATGTGTATTTAGGAGAAAAGGAAATAAGGGAAAGAAACGAGAGTGAAAGTAGAACAATTGTGGGAAGAGAAAGTATGATCCTGTATGAAAAAGAACTAAAAAATAGATTACTCTCCCAACAGAGTGAATGGAAAATGAAGTTAAGGAAAGAGGGTGTGGAAGCTGCTTGGAACGAGGTGAAAAAAAAAATAGATTACAGAGTGCCACAAAACTGTGTGGGATTACACTATTGAGAAATGTGAAAAGAAATAGAAGGTGAAAGGTGCTGTGAATGAGAAAAAAAATCATGTCAGAGAATAATTGTTGGAAAAAATGAGTGTGAGAGAAACTAAATGACATATCTTGAGAAAGTAGTGGCAAACATGTAGTTAAAGAGAGCGAGGACAGAGAAAATGCAGCATGATTTTGATGGGAATTTAAAAAAATGTTTTAGAAGTGGGTGAAGAGAGCTGAACAAGGCCTCCAGCAGAGTGAAGGGAATTGAAAATAAAAATGATGAAGGGATTTTGGATAGGGTTGAAGTGAGAAAATGCTGGAAGGTATAATTTAGAGATTTCTTTGAGAATGACAGTGAATGCTGATGAATAGAACTGAAATAAACGCCATACTTTTTTGTGTCCAAGAAAAAATTGCTGAAAAGTCATGAGTAGTGTGAGAATGTAGAAAAGTACTAAACTGTAACTATAGCTGCAGAAATGCTAAAATGGAGATGTAAAGTGTTTCTGGAGTGACTGTGCAGCTTGTTTAAGGTGTGGGAAGACTGCATCTGTGCCTGTCACTTGGCAGAATGCCATTACTGTATTATTCCCTTCTCTAATGGGAAAGGTAATAAAAGTGAATGCAAAATAGCAGGAGTATTTGTTTGTTAATAGGGCCTAGGAAGGTGGTTGACAGGGTTCTAATTGAAAAAGTACAAGCGGTGGCAGTGAGCATCATTATCCTGAACGTAGAAAGACCAAGGCAATAGATCTGCCGATCTGTATGTTCTCTTAAGCTTCTAGCTGGGGTGCAAGCAATACGCACAATAGTATGGAGAATTCTTAACGTAATTTTCTGGATCCAGCAAGAATTAATTCACACTTCAATAAAGATACAACAGAGTTCAATAAAACTGAACATAAGAACAGAGTATATAACTGCACATTTACCTGCTGAAAAACTAGCTGTGTATGCACTTAAGTGAATTATGGATAGGATAAGTGTGCCACAGAGCCAGTTTGATGTAATAGTTAAGGCACGAGGCTAGAAACTGAGAGACCATGAGTTCTAGTCCCGCCTTAGGTACAAAGCCAGCTGGGTGGCCTTGGGCCAGCCAATCTCTCTGCGCCCTAGGAAGGACGAGACAATGCCAAACCACTTCCAAAACCTTGCTAAGAAAGCTGCAGGGACTTGTCCAAGCAGTCACCAGGAGTCAAGACTGTCTTGAAGGCACAAAATACAGCATGCCATGCAAACACTATATACTAGTCAGCACTGGAGTTTGCACACTTGTTTACATCACGGGCAGGATTAGCTTCGCCATAGAAATGTAATTCAAGTCATTTATATGATGATATCATGTTGCACATGATGTCACTTGCCCTCCTGTAGATGTGCAAGGAGACCATCTGAGAGATTTTTAAACAGAATTGCTCAAGACCTTGAGAACAGCCTTCAGGGC